AGGATAGATGAATGTAATAGGATTATAGATGTTGTGGTTTCACAATGGAAGACGGGGCCAGGAAAAACATTCAGTACACGATATCCAGCCCGACGATTGGATAGCAGCATAGAGACCAGAATACTTGTTCTTGATGGGTCGATGGAATAAGAAGAGGACGCTTGTTTGTGACGGCTTTGTAGGTATTAGGAATGGGAGGGGATAAGGGCCTGCACAGATCCGGGTAACCGAACCTCCTTTCACCGGCGAGGAGGCACCCTTCCTGTTTTCATCCTTCTTAGTTCTTGAAGCTGAACAGAATTTTCGGAATCGGGAGACGGATAATCGTGTCGCATCTCCTTGTCTTCGTTGTCCAGGTAAAAGTTATCCGTAGGATAATGCTCGGTGGGTTGAGTATACCGAGGAGCGCTCCCGATCCCGACCCTGCCCGATTGGCAGTGAGATTGTGAGTTGAACCGTTTATGACTTGCTTGGGAATGGTGACTGGTGACAGGCATGGTGACATCGTCATCCACGGCTGCACCGCGAAGTTGAATAAAGAACCTCGAGATAAGCGCACTGTATAAAAAGATATAGATATTAGCAATGATTAAGGGGCAGGTTTTCCCGACAACGTCAACATGATCACTACTTACGCTGCTCTGGAAAACGGGGTCAGTGCCACGTGAGAGGGCCAAGAAGTTGAACGCTTACATCGGGAAGTCCATTTGATTTGCCACAAACCAAAGTGAGGTGGGCCCGAAGGCATACTATAGGGCCAATACAGTATTCCGATCAGAGACCTCGCCTCATTAAAGGGAATAACAGAACTTACCACAAAGACGCAAAGAAGTCGGATGCTTATAACGGCACTGAAATACAGGTATCCGTCTCGGAATAGCGTGGTGAGTATGGGTGTCCTGATCATGGCTGCTTGTTTTCTTCTTTTGATGTGGTCCGCAATTTGTAGTATCAAAATACCGCCTTCTGCAAGTAACTGTTGAACGGAAATATCAGTGTCCGTAAATTGGTCGAGAGGAGATGAATAGTCTCACTGGTGGGATATAGACACCTCCGATTATCGGATCAGCAATGGTATAGCAGGTGTTCATTACAGGCAGGTATATGAGGAGCGCTGTAAACGTGGTGAATGAATGCTTAAAAGGGGCTTGGTGACTACTTACGGACGAATCTATACATGGAAATGGCAACCATAATCCATAGAGTAGAGTGGCACACTGCCAGCCAGGTGAAGAGACCTATTCGGACTTTACGTTCGTTCTTGTATAAAGCTAGAACGCGAAGAGCAAGCTATGGGCAAATTAAATGTTGAACATGAGCAAGCGAAATAATACGTGACCAGAACCTACTCACCAACTGGATTCCGATGACAATTGTAATTCCCTGTGCCACGGCGATTGCCGGGATTAATACTTGGCAGCTATAAATGAAATGTCAGCCTTTAGGAAACAGGCGATAGAATGACTTTGAAAGACGAACAACTAAATGAATCCGGTAAGCTCGGTTAGATGAGGGGAACTCGATAAACACTCACTCGATTGTTCAGGCGCCCTCTGAGTCCGGAAAGGTCTATACGTAGGCTATAGTTTAGAGACTGTGTTTTGGAAGGTAACGGATGCCTTACGGTAGTTGGATAATATAACCCAAGGGAACACAAGGTACCGATTCTATGCATTGTATCAGGAATAATGTCCAGAGCACTTGTGGCTTAGGCTCACCCAGATGAACATGAGTTTGGCTGCACTCATTTTCTGCGTTCCAGACCAGACAAACTTGATCTCCTATAGAATGCATTCGGGACGATTAGCAAGTGGCTCAAGAGAGAGAAGCAAGACCACAAACATCGCCAACAGTCAAGAGATAGTCATAGAACATCACCGTCATCGCAGCTCCACAAGTATACCGTGAAGCTTGGATGTTTACCAAGGACTCGATAATTTCGCCAAAACCTGGGATGTGCGACATGGCGAGCGCCTTGACTCTTTACAATCCTTATTGATCTGTCGGTCGATTCTTGTATAAAATAAAATGAAAAGGTGCTTTGCAGGGGGGGTCGAAGGTAGTTGGAAATGGAGGATGAGAAGAAGAGGGGGAAAACGAAGGCAGTTGGGGGGCCCGGGGCAAAGACATCCTCTATATCGTGCCTATTTGTCGTATTTACACCTTGGAGCGTAGATATGAATTCAATACGGTTAAACTGTCGAAGACCTGCCGCCCGCCAACCGTCTTCGGTGAAATAGGGTGAAATTGCTGTCGCGAGGGTTGAAAGCCAAAGTTATTGATAAGACGACAGCAGTTCGATCGGCAGATTCCTTGGTTGGTTCCTTTTTCATCCAAGATGCTCATGGGACACCACCGGCGATTCCGACTAGGCGGGGCGCACGTCTAACCTTTACCCTTCATTGACAAGTACCGAGACTCGAAGTGGGCACTTCCCTTGAGACCGCCCACCTACATATTCCTTAGTGCAAAAATAGTCGCAAGGGGAAAAGAAAAACATCAATTTATCTTGTCGCTGCGGTGAATGTGAAATTCACCAAGATTTGGCGGGGGACAAGTTGCGACGTGAGATTGAGCAGCTAACCAAAATATATGTAACATGCCGAAAACCACAGGTACTACATAGATAAGATGCACGATAGTCGAGAAACACATGTTATTGTCCTCGACTTATCTAGTGTAAACTCCGACTTTTGGTCCATTCCGTAAAATTGGCCCTAAAATCGACCCCCTTCCTCTCCCACCACGCTCGCGCCAGTGCTCCACCCCCTATAGTGGCATCTTCTAATGCTTCCTCGATATCACACAGCTTATATTGGATAGGCAAGCCCGAGCGGTCCCACCACTCCAACGCCTCTGGCTTGTTATTTTTGGTGGCCGCTACGAGCGCATCTGTGTCGTACATCATCTGTAAGCCACTCTGCGCCCACCATTCGAGTACCTCGACGCGCCCGGAACAGCTTGCCTGGTACAGCGTCATCTTGTCATATTTGAAGTCAAGGCCCGATCGATGCCACCACTCGAGGACGTCGACATATCCGGCCCCGGAGGCTAATTCCATCACCCGCCCGATCTTGAGGGGTAACTTGGACTGTTTCCACCAGTTCAATACCGCGATATGCCCCCGAGCACTCGCGTGTTCCAGCGCCCCCTCTGTATACTTAAGGGGCAACTGCGAGTCAACCCACCATTGCAAGATATGAACATGTCCACCCACACATGCCGCATCCATGGCTCGACTATCGTATGAGGCATTGTTTCCCGGTTGATACATAGCCTTCTTCCACCAGTTTAGCACAGGAACGCTCCCCTCCAAGGATGCATTTAGGGGTAGAATTTGGCCAAAGGTTCTGTCGAAAGTGGCTCGGTGGTGGACGGAGAGGTATTCGATGATGTCAACAGAGCCGAACCGAATTGCTGCTTTGGCAGAGATCATATAGAACTGTCCCGTTGTCTCCTGGACTTTTTTGAGCCGACAGGAGAGTATAGCTAGGTCAAGTTTGGTGGCCCGTCCCCATGCTCTTGGGCATGGTAAACTCGTGGGCAGTCCGACCGCCTTGGATAGTTCCCAATCTCCTAAATGGTCAACAATTTCCGCTACAAGTTCGGTCGGAAATTGGTGAGCGATAGAAGGAGTCAGGCTTTCTGGCTGCTGACTCCGTAGTGGCTTCGAGTTTGCTTCTGATTGGGCGCTGCTCTGCGGCGGTAGGAGTGGTGTTATCGAATCATCAATCGTAGAAGCTGAATAAAGTTTTAAATCATGATCCGCGAGACGTTTTGCGAGTTGGGATAGAGTGCCGGTTGTGGAAAGTGATCGTAATGTACAAAATACAACAAGCTCGTTCTTTCGTAATCGTTCGTATGCACTCTGGAGAACATGCAGAAGATGAATATTGCCTTGTGGATTGTCTCCAGCCGTCATCATTACGTATAGTCCTGAATGGGTTCAGGTTTAGGTGAGACCCTGTCGCCAAATGCTTATGTAAGATATATCGGGAAGTTACAGAAATGGAAGCCAAAAGCGAGGAATTTATTGCAAAGTTCAAAACGGGCGATAGTCGGTCGGTCGGTTAGATCAATGGTGGAGTAAGCGAAGGTACAGGCGTAATCACATCTTGGACATCATTTTTATTCGGCCTCTCTCGACCATCATCACCAATGGCCACCAACTTGCTCGCTGCTCAACAGGATGACGCCTATACCTTTCCATCTCACAGGATCACTCGTGTGATGCGAGATGCCTCCAGAACTCCGGTCGTCCTGGTCGCCTGCGGGTCCTTTTCACC